ACCCTAACCCTAAAAGTGGACTCAAATCGCACTATTTCTGGCAGTCTGTAACCCCCCTGAGAGAAAGAAATTTGCAGCAGTTAGAGACTGCTTTCAGTTAGTCTCAAAGGTGCTACAAGATTTCTCTACATACTGATTCTACAGACTAACACGGCTATATCTTTGATTTGTACCTGGTCTCCAGAGTCTCAGTCTAGCACTCAAACCACTATGCCTTAGGGTTTGCCATAAGCCAGAAAGGACACAACTACATAATTTTATACTGTTTTTATTTCAGTGTTTTTAATTGTTTAAAAACTTTTATTGTAAAGTTTTTTTGTTTGTGAGCTGTCTTGGGTCCCTTTCTGGGAGAAGGTCTGCATAAAAATGATATAAATGATAATAATAAAATAATACTTAGAAAACCTTTTTGAATGGTCTTTGAATGTGTTTATATGGTTTAATGTGGGAATTTTTAATTTTTTTAAAAATGGTTTTAAGGATTTTAATTCTCTGAATCAGAGAATTATAAGAGTTGGAAGAGACCACAAGGGTCATCCAGTCCAACCCCCTGCCATGCAGGAAGACACAATCTAAGCAGTCCTGCGACAGATGACTATCCAGCCTCTGTTTAAAGACCTCCAAAGAAAGTGACTCCACTACTCTCCCAGGGAGTGTGTTCCACTGTGAAACAGCTCTTACTGTCAGGAAGTTCCTCCTAATGTTGAGGTGGAATCTCTTTTCCTGTAGCTTGCATCCATTGCTCTGGGTCCTAATCTCTGGAGCTGTAGAAAACAAGGCTGCTCCATCCTCAGAATGACATCCCTTCAAATTTTTAAACAGAGCTATCATATCATATCACCTCTTAATCTTCTCTTCTCCCAGCTACATATACCCAGCTCCCTAAGATGTTTCTCATAGGCCATGGTTTCCAGGCCTTTCACCATGAGGTTTGGACTACAGCCCAGACCACCTAACTGATGTGAAAGCCACTATGTACCATTGACTTTTATCAAACAAGCAACAGTGAACTCAGTTGGACTTAGGGCCTCAGCAGACGAGGGCGTCCAAGACGCCCTGGGACGGTGCGCTGCGGGACCGCAGCCTCCGCATCACGGCGCACCGGCAGTGTCCCTGAAAGAAGCGCAAAAATAGCGCTCCTTTCAGAAGTCAGGGAAAGTGCGCCCTAAACGCGTAGGGCACACTTTCCCTGACTTTTCCGCCACAGCGTGTGAGGACGCTGCGGCGGGAGGTTGCTCTCGGAGCGCCGGTCGTGCGGAGGGCCGGCAGCTCCGAGGGCAACCTCGGGAGGAGGAAGGGGCGCCGCGCGTGCGGCTGCCCCTCCTCTTCCTTGCCTCCAAGATGACTTTATTAGTCGTCTGCCGAGGCCCTTAAACATGTGAAGAAATGCATGATATAGCATGTAAGTGTTTAGAACAGGGGTAGGCAACCTTTTTGAGCTGGGGGCTGGGTTGCTGTCCCTCAGACAATTGACGGGCCGAAGCACCAAAAATAAATAAATAAATAAATAAATAAATAAATATAAAAATTAAAATTAAAATTAAAATTAAAATTAAAATTAAAATTAAAAAATAATTAAAAATTTTTTAAAAAAATGCATGCACACTCTCTCAGCCTCAGAAAAGCCATGGTAAAACCCCTGTGAAGATTTTGCCAAGAAAACCCCAAGAACAAGTAATAACAACAATAATCAATATCATCATGGGGGGGGGGGCGGCGGCGGTGGGGGGGGCGGTGGCAGGACCGGTTTGGGGCCAGTCCAAAGGCCTTGCTGGGCCGCATCCGGCCCCCGGGCCTTAGGTTGCCTACCCCTGGTTTAGAATCATAGAATCATGGAGTTGGAAGATACCACAAGGGTTATTCAGTTTAACACCCTGCCATGCAGGAATTCATAATCTAAGCCAAGGGTAGGCAACCTAGCCAAGGGTAGGCAAGCGCTCCCAACAGATGGCCATCCAGCTTCTCTTTAAAAACCTCCAAAGAAGGAGACTCCACCACTCTTCAAGGGAGCATGTTCCACTGTCAAACAGTTCTCACCATCAGGAAGTTCTTCCTAATGTTTAGATGAAATCTTTTTCTCTAATTTGACTCCATTGCTTTGGGTCCTATTCTCCTGAGCAGCAGAAAACAAACTTGCTTCATCTTCAGTATGATATCCCTTCAAGCTGGTTTTGGTTCCACTCTGGGAAATAATAAATAAATAAATAAATAAATAATAAGGAAGCTTACCATTTTAAGACTGCAATTCCTAGAATCCTCAGGCTTGCATGACTCACATCACTAAGGTCTGATCTGCAGTGTGAAAATAATATAGTTTGGCACTTTGACTGTCATGGCTCAGTGCTGTGGAATCCTGGGATTTGTTTGTTGTGATACCAGAGTGCTCTGAAAGAGAAGGCCAAATATCTCACAGAACTACAAATCCCAGAATTTCATACCTTTGAGGGATGACAGTTAAAGCAATGTCAAAGTGCATTATTTCAACAGTGAAGTTTAGATTCAAGTTCTATTTTGGAGCAGCTTTTCTATCAGATAGTGCTGAAGAGAAGAGAGTGGAAAGCCTTTGGTTTCTTTGGTTCCAACTTTCTTCCATAAATATGAATGATGGGTGATTAATCTTTTTTTAAAAAAAGTGAAGATAATCATATACGCTCATCCCTCTGCATTTGCGGATTTGATTATTTACAGATTTTATTAATATGTACTCTCTAGGAACATCTAGGTAATCCAGTGCAACTCTATGGTCAACTTTAACCAATAATTGCATTGAAGGACCTAGAGATTCCTAGAGAGAACACTCCACTAGGCATTTGTAGCTGCTCCAGTGCAATTCTATGGTCAATGTCTGGCAGACGTTGACCACAGAGTTGCACTGGAGGACCTAGAGCAGGGGTAGGTAACCT